CGTTTCTTTTCTCGACGACCTTTCTTCGAACATTACTGAATGGAAGTCGAAGTTCGTGTTCATACGTCCTCCCCTTGGTGCTTATCCTTACGTAAATAATTGGATAACCACCAAAGTAAAACAGAAGAAAAGACCCCAATCTGAGAACTTCGAGAAGCTCTTACAGGAGCTCAATAAGCATACTTACAGCGCTCGTCGGATAATAAAGGATCGTGGGTTAGTCAATCATGCTAAGATTGTTTTTCACGAGGGTCTTCCTCGCCTCGACGACCCCCGTAAGCTTATAATGTCTCGATTTTTTCGTGCCTATCCTTTATTGATGATGGATTTCATATTTAACTAACTCGTGTGATCTTCCTCGATTTCAGTCCAAGCGCTTAAGCGTTTCGAGCTTAAGGAGAAAAAGTCGACCGATCAGCCGGCGACTGGGTCTGCTCCTCCTCCTCCCGGCGGTTTGGCATCGAAGGCTACCAACCCTTCCCTCGAGAAGGCTTCAGCTAAGAAGTCAGGGGTCGGTGCCGCCGGTGCCTCAAAGCAGCCAAAACATCCCGGCTCTGGGTCGCGGAAAAGAGCCTAGGACGATCGGGCCTATCCTCTCATCCCCGACGAGCTGAAACGTCAAAGGGTTGATAAGGGGAAAGAAAAGATGGTCGAGAAGGCGACTCCGTCTCCCATCACCGTCAAGGATGTGACGGTCCGAATGCCCTCTCGGCTCTAGAACCATCCAGAGCCGTATCACGTGGCCAAATATCTTAACTCCACCATCCCCGAAGTCGACAAGAAACGCGTCGAGGGGAATCTCTATGAACGCTCCTGCTACGCCACCCAGCTGCTTGCTAGGGTATCTTTTCTTCTCGGCCTCATTGTCATGTATATTACTGCTATATTGTATATATATATCATTATTATTTTGGTTTTCAACGTCGTTTCAATAACGATTGCGTTTTTTGCAGTTTATGGCTGCCGTGATCCCTTGCCTCGAGGAATGTAGCCGGGCTCCTGCTGTTTCCACCAAATCGCTTGAGGCCAAGTGTGAATCCCAGTGCAAAGAGATCGAGGCGCTGAAGGAGGACCTGGAGGCCTCAAAAGCCCTGGTCGAGAAGCTGAGAGCCGATAAGGCCGTGGTTCGCCATATGAGCGAGAAACTCAAGGCCGACCTCGAGAAGGCCCGCGAGGAAAGCTTGGCCGAGAAGGAGGTTGGGGTCGAGGAAGGTCGGAGATCGTTCCTGAAATCTCCGATGGGCTCCATTTTTGTCGAGACCTATCGTCAGGAGGTCGTCAAGGCCTCCAGCAAATCCTCCGACTTTCTCGACGAGTTGGTCCCAACAGCCCTCGAGTATTTCAACTTTGCCTTCTCGGCTTGGAAATCTACTGCAGCGAACACATAGTTAGCCGGGTAGGTCGACAAGGCGGTGCTGAAAGAGAATCTCCCAGACCCAGCGGGCTTTGATGACTCCGTTCCTGACGATCGCCCGTGGTGGTCGGGTCTCGAGGCTCGTGCCATCTTCGAGGCTGGCTGAGTTCCCAACTCGAGGTTCCTCCCACTCCCTTGGCTGGTCCGGTCGATTTGGTCCAGCCAAGCGGGGACGCTCACCCGGGGAACGAGGAGGTCGATCAGGGTACGGAGCCGCTGGTCGACAATGAGGGAGCTGCCGCTGAAAAAACTGCCACAGTTGTCGATGATGGTGGCGACACTGCTGACAAGTCTGATGCTGAATCTTAAATCTTTTTTTGTGTGTTTTTTTATCTTGGGATTGTGCCCGTTATCTACTTTCTTGCCGTTCTCGACCTATTTTCAAATTTGTAAAGGTCGAGACGGTTTTATCTGTAATGCATTAATGAATATTATTGATCCTTTGTTCCATAGTGCTTCGTTGCTTTTAATTGCCGAATTGTTTCTATTGTCTATGCTACCAAAATCGATTTTATCTGCCGCCTTCCCTTCTCCCCAACCCCTTGTGCGAGCTGGTCGAAGTCGAGCACTGATTTCAACAGCTTCATAGATGTTGAAACAAAGTTTTTCGGGTCGACTTCTCCCCGACCCCTTGTGCGAGCTGGTCGAAGTCGAGCACTGATTTCAACAGCTTCATAGCTGTTGAAATAAAGTTTTTCGGGTCGACTTCTCCCAAACCCTTGTGCGAGCTGGTCGAAGTCGAGCACTGATTTCAACAGCTTCATAGCTGTTGAAACAAAGTTTTTCAGGTCGACTTCTCCCAACCCCTTGTGCGAGCTGGACGAAGTCGAGCACTTATTTCAAACATCTTCATAGCTGTTGAAACAAAGTTTCTCGGGTCGACTTCTCCCAACCCCTTGTGCGAGCTGGTCGAAGTCGAGCACTGATTTCAACAGCTTAATAGCTGTTGAAACAAAGTTTTTCGGGTCGATTTCTCCCAACCCCTTGTGCGAGCTGGTCGAAGTCGAGCACTGATTTCAACAGCTTCATAGCTGTTGAAACAAAGTTTTTCGGGTCGACTTCTCCCAATCTCTTGTGCGAGCTGGACGAAGTCGAGCACTGATTTCAACAGCTTCATAGCTGTTGAAACAAAGTTTTTCGGGTCGACTTCTCCCAACCCCCTGTGCGAGCTGGTCGAAGTCGAGCACTGATTTCAACAGCTTCATGGCTGTTGAAACAAAGTTTTTCGGGTCGACTTCTCCCAACCCCTTGTGCGAGCTGGTCGATGTCGAGCACTGATTTCAACAGCTTCATAGCTGTTGAAACAAAGTTTTTCGGGTCGACTTCTCCCAACCCCTTGTGCGAGCTGCTCAAAGTCGAGCCTAGTTAGTAGTTGGATCACGAATTTTGGGATAAAGTAATATCATTGGAGCATTACGCTTATGATCGCGTGGTTGGTGTCAGCTTGTGCCGTATGGAGGGCGAAGTAGCTCAGACCACTAGTTCGAAAGCTTCGTAGCTGTGTCGAGATTCTTACTCGAGGCATATAACTTCATAGTTGTTTGAATCGACTTCGTAGTCGTAGGCTTCGTAGCCTTGCCGAGATTCCACTCGAGGCATACA